TTTCTTTATGTCAACTTTGTAATTTGGCTTTGACATAGTTGATTGTAGCAATATGTTAAATTTTGAATTTATTACTTGTTCAGTTCATGGATGGTATATAAGTCCTTTTGTTTTAAGACGAACTCCAGCCCCTATCGAAAACAATCTTTGTTACTGATTGGCACATGCAAACATGCTTTGGGTGCATTGTAGTTTTACCGAACTTTGAGATCATTATTGTATGCATCCTTATTATGATTGATGGATTCTTAAAAATTTGTTATTTTGACTGTCTTGTGCACTTTTTGCAATTGTTCACTAGATTGTGTTGTCTTTCTGTGGGACTAGGTGGGTAAAGTTGATTGTTTCAAAAATTTTGTATATACTACATGTCTAATACACGATGCTCCTTGTGTATGCAGGTATCGGATACAAAGTGATAAAAAAGTTGCTGTGTGTAGTGTACATCCTTCTGAGGAAGCCACATTGCAGTGTGTAGGTTGTGTTAAGGCTAAAATACCTGTTGTTAAAAGTTACCATTGCTCTCCAAAGTGCTTCTCTGATGCATGGCAGCATCACCGTGCTCTGCATGATCGTGCTGCAAGTGCTGTAAATGAAAATGGAAATGAGGAGGAAGAGATATTTGGCCGTTTTAATAGCTCAGGTTCTGGTGTTCTCAATGCTAGCTTAACCGGTTCAGCGTCAAGCACTAGCTTGACAAATGGATTAACACCTCCATATCCCACTGCGGTTACGCAGAGGAGTGGTGGTGAAACCTGGTTTGAGGTTGGACGCTCTAAGACATATACACCAACAGCTGACGATATTGGCCATATTCTCAAGTTTGAGTGTGTTGTTGTAGATGCTGAAACAAAACTACCTGTCGGACATCCCAATACTCTTTCAACATCTCGTGTTATTCCAGCACCTTCCCCTACTCCTCGGCGCTTGATCTCAGTAAGCGGAGCTGATATGTTGGGAAATCTACACTCAGATGGTCGTATTTCATCCTCTGGAAATTTTACTGTTCTCTCCTACAACATCTTGTCTGACTCATATGCCAGCAGTGAGTTATACAGTTATTGTCCTTCATGGGCTCTTTCTTGGCCATACCGTAGGCAGAATTTGTTGCGGGAAATTGTTGGTTATCGTGCAGACATTGTTTGTCTTCAAGAGGTAATACTTGGTTACTGTTTGATGAATTGCTACTCTTTTCAGAAGTTTCATTTGGATCCAAGATGCAGCTTTGAAGTTTAGTGCATGGCAATTAATTGCTGTTATGCTCAACGTTTACTGATATTTTGGCTCTGTAATGTCTGCCCTGCACTTTCGTCAGTCTTTAACTTTAGGGTTTTATTTATGCTATGTTGAATCTATTTTAGATGATATATATATATGTAGTTAGTAATCCTAAAAGAAAATGATTTTAGCCTTACCTTTCTCCAAGAATAAAGCTTGGGGTTTTAAAGAACTAAGTAGAGATCTTAGTAAAACATGAAGCATTGTTTTCAAATTCCAGAATTATCAGCATATTCATCTCATATTACTGCCTTTGGGCCTCTAGGTGATGCACCTTAATATCAACTATTCTCATCTTTGCAGGTGCAAAATAACCATTTTGAGGAAGTTTTTGCCCCTGAACTAGACAAACATGGATATCAAGCATTATACAAGAGAAAGACAAATGAGGTTGCTTAAGAACTACATGATTCTCATTTCACTGATTTATAATATTACTCGTTTGTGTAATTTCTGTTGTTTATAATACAGGTTTACAGTGGAAATATCCATACAATTGATGGCTGTGCAACATTTTTCCGGAGAGATAGATTGTCACATGTCAAAAAATATGAGGTTTGGGAGTATTTCTATAGTGGTATATGGGTTTATACATGTTTTTACTGGGCTAAAGTAAATCATGTATTTTTCAGGTTGAATTTAATAAGGCTGCTCAGTCGTTGACTGAGGTTGCTGTTCAAACTACTCAGAAGAAAGCTGCTTTAAATCGTTTGGTTAAGGCAATAAATATTTACTACTAATTTCAATTTTTATCCATTCTCTTATGGCCAATATTTCTCTAATGCTAATGATAAATTGGAAACTCTATTTTGTCTGCAGGATAATGTTGCACTAATTGTGGTTTTGGAAGCAAAGTTTAATAATCAGGGAGCTGAAAATCCTGGGAAGCGGCAGCTTCTTTGTGTGGTAAGGATTGTTAATTTTTTTATTCTATGTTGTATATCTCCAGCCTATTCTATTATCGTCTGCTGTTTTGCATAATTTTTCCTTAGTGCATATTTAGGATAAAAATATTATTCATATTGCTAAGTGGTAATGGGATATGTTACCCAAATTCTGTTTTATACAACCTGAAAAGAATTGCAAAATGATCTACCCAGGATTGAGTATGTAGCATATTGCTTGTTTCTCAAAACTGGAAGTGCCTGATTTGCTGTCTAGTGTGCCAATTGGTCTGGTAGGTAGATTGGTTATTCTAGACATGTTTAGAGCCTAAACATCTCTATAGGACATGGTAATTTGTCTACGTCAATCTATGAAGAGATGGCATTGTAAGAACCCTTTGTGTCGCAGTGTTTTTTTTTCCATCATTTTTTTGGCTTTGCAACAACAATGTCAACAGAGTAGTATGCTTGTGAATGATAATCAGATTCTAGCCATTTGAAGTATCAGAGCCTGTGACACTTCCCCATATTTCCTCATGACTAGTCAACTCCCCTTTTGGATAAGATTGGTTTGATTATTACTTTGTTCTTTGATTGTTTTAACCCCCCCTCCCCCAACAAACAAAATATGGAAGTGTTGAGCATATTTTGGGCTATTCTGTAGAATTTATGTAAGTATCTCAATTAAATGATGCTATTCTTTGCAACTCTTTCATGATTTCTAGGTGCGTCGTGTAACTGTTTCTGGTTTTGGAATACAGGCAAACACACATGTTAATGTTCCACAAGAGCTAAAGGATGTCAAAATCTGGCAGGTTCTGATTTTGTTTTTCTAACATGTACAATTACTCATGTTTCTTTTATTAAGAATTTGAACTCATTTTTGCTCTTTTTTAATATTAAATTAGGTGCATACTCTCCTAAAGGGATTAGAGAAAATAGCAGCAAGTGCAGACATTCCAATGTTGGTTTGTGGGGATTTTAATTCAGTTCCCGGAAGGTAAACCTGTTATCCTTTACATGTTAGATTATTTAGTGCTCCCAATCCACTTTATTGGCTTTAAATTTTAGCAGTATTAAATGCACCCTCAAATGTTCTGCAGTGCACCCCATTCACTTCTTGCTCTGGGAAAGGTAGATCCAATGCATACAGATTTGTTGGTAGACCCTCTTGCGATTTTGCGACCTCACAGCAAGTTGACTCATCAGTTACCACTGGTAAAACTATTGTCTAGTAATTAACTACTTCCAGAGGTTATGTTTTTAGCCTTACTATCGTCACTTTCAATGATGTTCCGATATTGGTTTCGGGAGAACAAAGGAAACAAGCTTCAGTTGGTAAAAGTGGCACTGGTAATTAGCTCTTGAATTTTTTTCATACAGGTTAGTGCTTACTCATCCTTTTTAAGAGGTGTTGGTCTGGGTGTGGAGAAACAGAAGAGAAGAATGGATCCCGCAACCAATGAACCTTTATTCACGAATTGCATGAGAGATTTTATTGGCACCCTAGACTACATATTTTACACAGGTGGGTCTCTCTTTTCTGAAACAAAAAATATCTATTTTTCCCCATAAATGTCGGTTGAGGTTTTCATGTAATTAAGTGCCATATGTGACTTTTAAGTTATTGCAGCTGCTTATGACCCGTTTGATTTGTGGTTCAGCGGACTCATTAACAGTCGAGTCATTATTGGAACTCTTGGATGAGGAAAGCTTAAGAAAAGACACAGCACTTCCTTCTCCAGAGTGGTCCTCTGATCATATAGCTCTGTTAGCCGAATTTCGGTGTGTGCCTAGGCCTAGATGCTGAGAAAGGTATGCCGTTGTGACCTTTGATTTTAAACAGGATGCACATGAACAACTCTATCCCGGCTCTTCAAAGTGTCGTGACCTGAAAGATTGTGACTGTTATTTAGGCGTTGGAAGATGGCGAAGAAAACACGAGAGGAAGCCGATGGATAGAGATGAAAGATAGATCATGCTCCATAATATATATATTTTTAAGGCCATCAATCCCATTGAGGGATCTGCTGCTTTGTAATATCAACACTTGTTTCATAGTTTATATCATTGTTATGCCATTTTCATTCTATTTTATTTTTCTCAATAGAAATGTCCAGCGGCTCAGTATTATTAGTGATTGTACTTTCTGAACTCCTCTGCAAAGCTAGCATTATTAGCATTTTGCATTGTTTTTTTGGTAAATTACAAATTTCATCATAAAATTTTATTCTCTCCCATTTTGCTTATTGAATTTTAAAAGTTTTTAATTTCCTCACTAAATTTAATGCATTGGATTTTTTCACTTCGCAAATTTTCACCAAAACAATGTCGATTTACATCTATATAAAAATTCATTTACATTATAATTTCGTTAGTGAGAAAACGGTTGAGTGACAAAAATTAAATGTATTAAGTTATGTAATAAAATTAAAATGTTTTATATTATTTTGAAAGAAATGGGAGGGGGTAAAGTTGAGTTGCCAAATTATCACATTCCAAAAGGAATTTAGCATCACAGAGAGTAGCATTCCATTGACGAGTACTAATAATGGAATGATACTGTAATTTTACTTCTAACTCGACGGAAGTATTTTGTAAGTATATTCAATTTTATTATAAAATTTGCATTGATACAACCATGTGAAAAACACAAGTGTTGAATGTAAATATTTGGAGAGAAACAACAGGAGAGAGAATCCCCTCCATCTTTAACTAAATACATTCAAAAACATTTTCCACACAAATCATGGAAAAAAAATTGACTATCTGAACTTGGAACCATATAAAAACAATTCAACTATCATCCTTACAATTTACAAGTCTACAAGGCAATCAATTCTCTCTCTTTAATATACCAAAACAATTATAAAAGCTTTCAAGCACTCTGATGTATTAGCTATGCACTTTGAAGCATCTCAGATAAGGGAACAACTTAAGTAAATCATCACGGCTGCGCCTCTGCAACAGAAATCAAGATAGATTTAGCAAAAGATATTGGCAGGAATTATTAGCAACCCTTGTAATTCACATTGCAAGGGAAAGTCCATAATGTAAAATATCCATTTTCGGGTATGAGCATGTTCAAGAATGGATACACTGCAGACATAGATATTCATTTTAGTACTCCCCTAATAATGTAGTTTCCAGTAGATCATATTTGGTTGGTGCCTTCATATTTGAAGACTACCATATTGTCCTTTACCTAATGGTATATATTCTTATGTTATTTGGATTTGGTTGGAGTATCTGATACTGGTATGAGTCTAAAACGGATATTTTCAGATATTACTAAAGTTTTCCAGTGTATTTGATGGGTACATGGAAGATCACATCCCTGAACCCATTTCCGAATGTCGGACATGGGTATTTCTCAGAAAAATAAGCGTCAAAGCAACATGGGTATATTCATCCACCAAAGAGTAGTTTGACATCTACAAGCAAGAGAAACTATCTTTGATAGAATTACAACAATAGATCAGAAAGTAACTGCCGTAGCGTTCTTATAAATAAGCAGAGGACAAGCACATTAGTTTATAGAGAGAAGATAAGTTTACCTTGATACCGATACATCCACTAACATCAAGAGTCGTGATCTTATTTGCACACGACTTGGAAAGGGCCTCTAGGCACTTGTCAGTCACCCTGATTATCCCAAACAAACTGCAAGACATCAATAATAAAAACTTTTAGATGAGAATAACTTATAGGCCAGAGTGTGGCATTTGCAAATTGCATCATCAAGATGATCATATGCTTATAAATTTAATCATTCTCCGTGTAATCACCAATTTTTGGCCCACACCATCCCTGCAGCTGTCACCACCGACCTCCTGCTGCAACTCCATCCCGTGCCGGTGCCCTGCTACACCAACTCAACGCCACCACCACTCCTCACCCATGTTCAGCAGGTCACCAAACAATCAACATCAATTTTTTAATGTAAATGGGTTATAAAACCCAACAAAAGATCGGTGTAAGGGAGCCCCCCATTCGGACTAAAAAAAACGGCGATTTGACCAAACTGACACGCCTTTAACGAATTTTTATCTTTTTGGCACCGTTTAATATATATTTCCCGAAGTGGCACCCTTTCGGCTGAGTTGGCGAAAGGCGCGTCTCCGGGGACGCGCTTTATCTGTGTTTTCGCTGAGTTGGATGCCACGTGTGGAAGGCGCATCCCCGGGGACGCGCCTTTCGCCAGCTCAGCCGACACGTATTTTGTTTAATAATAAATATTTTATTTTTATTATTATTATAAATTAATAATATATTATGTAAAGTATTTCGATTATAATGTAAGAATTATCAAATGTATTTTGTTAATGTGTTAAAGGTGGAGTGAATTATCTACATTAATATGATAGAACAATATATGAAAACTAGTTTTGACTTTATTGTAGTTATAGGAAAAATGTATGAAATTATAATATTACACATATGGTTATATTATTATTTTTTATTTTGATTATCGATCTATTAATTTTATCAGTTAATTATTTAAATGTTATCAATCTAGTCATCTCTTATCAATATTTAACGAAAATATTGATGCATAAGTTAATAAATTAGTATAATTACATATTTAATCTTCAAGACTTACATATTTTATGAAATTAGTCTTATTGAAAATTTAATTTAATAAATTTAATCCTCCAATCAGAACATGAAATGTGTCATCGTATACATAAATTTTTTAATAACTTTTAATTTGTTTAATTTAATATTTTTCTCTACTTAGAAGGTGGAATTATTATTATATTTTAAAAAATTTTATAACTAATAATATTAATTATATATTAAATAAATATATTAAAAATATTTATGTATTTAAAAGTTAAAAAAAATTATTTAGGTGTACATACATTGACAAATTATATAAATGCAATAACATTAAATTATTAGAAACAAAAACATTCATTTAAATACAATATTAATTACATAAGAGTTAACGGTTATATGATGATAACAGAGCTGGACATTTTTTTCCTATTGTGCCCGATGTTTCTACAATGCCCACATCGTTTTTGTTCTGTTGACTTCTCCCGAATATCCATATCACAATGTATTCTAGTAGATTTTGGATGATCTGAGTCCCTCAATAACAATGGATCTGGTACAATTGTAAGCCAAGTTTGAATCTCATTTGGGTCTCTTTCGTTTCCTATGGGCGGAAACTCAAATTCATATACCTTGAATACTTGTGAAAGTTGGTATACGGGATCAACATAATTTTTGTAGTCCAAATGCGAATGTGAGCAAGCAGCAATGACATGAGAGCATGGATATTTGAGTGCTTGAAAGAAACCACAATCGCACCACCTCTCTTGCAGATTAACTCTTAAAGAGTTAGCTCTAATCCCTTGCAGCGGACGTGGCATTTCGGTTACACGAAACAATTCATGGGTGCGAGAAAAATTTATAACTAACATCCCATTTGATACAGCCACTTTTTTCTGTAAATCAACTACTAGTCTTGGGTGGTAAATATGTTCGTTTTGCATCCAAGTAAGAGCTTGTCCACCGAGCTTTGCAAAGAGTTGACCCAAACGAAAATAAGTCATTTTAACCAACGCCGTGACTAGTAAATGACGTGCTCCCTTTAAGGTTGAATTTATAGCTTCAGCCAAGTTTGTTGTCATATGACCATAGAGATACCCCACGTCATATGCATTTGTCCACATTTCTTTGCTGATGTCCATAATGTACTCGCACCCCTTCTTATTTTTGCCAAACAGCTCTTGTAGCATCGACTCAAACCTTTGAGGTAAGAGTTCGTAACCTAAGCCATTAGGAATATGTAATAGTTAATATGAAGTGTAAATAAGTAATAAGAAATTGATAGAAAAATTGGGAAAAAGTAACATACCCATCCGCACGACTAACTGACGTTCATCGTTCTTCTTGTATTTTCCGTAATAGTTTGCAGCAATATGACGGACACAATAACGATGTTGAACATGTGGAGGTCTATACATTGTACCCAAAGAGTCCATTACTGCTTTTATCCCAGCTCCTCGGTCTGAAATAATGCATACTCGTTCCCTGGAGACAACATGTAAACGTAAATTTTTTAAGGAAAACAGCCCAAGACTCAGTGTCTTCTCCTTGAACGAGGCAAACGCAACAGGAAGAATATTACGGTTTCCATCTTGGACCACATCCAATAATAAAACTTGCTTGTATTTCCCATACAAGAAAGTACCATCAATTTGGACAACTGGTTTACAGTACTTGATTGCATTAATACACTGAGGGTAAGTCCAAAAGACACGGTAAAATTGGCAGCGATCGCGAACCATTCGATCATTCACGTAATGATGTTGAGTTTCAAACTCAACAATTGTCCTGGGATTAAGTCTTTGCACAACATGAAACCAACTGGGCAGCTCGTTGTAAGAGGAATCCCATTCGCCATGAAGTTTGCAAATGGCATTCTGTTTTGCCAACCACGCTTTTTTATATGAGACAGTGTACCCATATTGTGATTGTATAGCAGAAATCAACACTGCAACAGCTATATGAGAGCTTTGCTTCACAATGGGCATGATTGCTTGACAAATAATATTGGAGTCCAAGTTGGGATGATCCTGGTTTATACCTGTTGCACAACATGTATGAGGACCGTTGTATCTGGTTAGTTCCCATAAGTTGTTCTTCCTCTTCCTCTTTTATACACGGACCATCCATTGACATCCGTTGTCACGTTGGACGCAGTAGCAGACATATTTCTCCGTGTTAGATCGATCAACTCGAGACTTAACTGAGTTACGAATATTGTAACTCTTTATTTCCATCATTGCTTCCTCATTCGATGCGAACTCCATTCCAATATGTAAATTACCGTCATTGACTAATGATTAAAGTCCATAGTTGCCAACATCAGGAAGATCTGGAAATTCAGGCTCATACATTGCATCATAATCAGCCTCATACATATGTGCAGGAAGTTCGGCTGGTGTTGTATTTATCGGAACGTCATCCTCTTCATCATCAGAATGTACGTTAAACTGTGGTGAGTCAGGTTCAACGAATAATCCTGTTTCAGCACCATCTGCCCCTGGCTCCCGAAGAGGTTCTTCTGGTGGAGATGAGGGTTCCTCCGATAATCCAATGTTGAGGTCAAATAAGTTCCCGCTTGCGTGTCCTCCCCTTGAACTTGAGGCCATTGTATCATGTGGGATGTGAATAGCCTGACGTCTCGTTGGCATTTCCATATGTAAGTCGAAAACATTGGCAGATGAATGTCTGCCCCTTGAAGTAGAAGAGATATTTCCATATGGATTATTGGTGAAGCCACGTGGGTTGAGATCATAAGCAGTTGCAGATGAATGCCTTCCTATTGAACTTGATGGCATGGTATCTGGCGTTGGATCCGCCATTAATGATGTGAAATCATTACAGATCAGTTGTGTCGGGCTATCAACTTGATATGCAATGCCAAAGTGAGAGGAATATGAGAGACCACGAGTTGCACGAACCTCAATAAAAGTGGCATACATTTCAATAAGAGATTGTGAACTCCCCATATGAGCATCAACCATCATAGAAACATCATCATCGTTTGAAAGCTGAAATGATGTATACGTGAGCGGAAAAAGTTCAGTAGGAAATCTGTACTGAAGTGAAGATAGTCTTCTCTGGCATGCTACACGAATCTTTAACGAAATTTTTGTGATTAACTCCTCAATTATGATTTTTCTCTTCAAGGTTAAGGGGATATAATGATCTGACTCAAAAACAACCCCCTCTTCAGCTTCCTTAATTTCTCCATCATACAAAACAACAGCAGAAAGACGACTCATTTTCATAGAATTTGAGAATTTAGAGTTTGGGAATTTGAGAATTTGAAAGCTTGTGAACTGAAGTTTGTTTTGAAAGTTTATAATATGTTGCATATAATAGTGTCTATAATCGGAGTACTATTCACATGAAGGCGCGTTCCCGGGGGCGCGCCTTCCATTATTTTGTCAGAGAATATGTTATCATTGCCCTATTATGTCACTCATGTCCCTCGGGGACACTATTCATATCAGTACCTATTATTTCTCAGGGGACTTGAAGGCGCGTTCCGGGGGCGCGCCTTCCATTATTTTGTCAGAGAATATGTTATCATTGCCCTATTATGCCACTCATGTCCCTTGGGGACACTAGATATTTCAGTACCTATTATTTCTCAGGGGACTTGAAGGTGCGTTCCCGGGGGGGCGCCTTTCATTATTTTGTCAGAGAATATGTTATCATTGCCCTATTATGTCACTCATGTCCCTCGGGGACACTATTCATATCAGTACCTATTATTTCTCAGGGGACTTGAAGGCGCGTTCCCGGGGGCGCGCCTTCCATTATTTTGTCATAGAATATGTTATCATTGCCCTATTATGTCACTCATGTCCCTCGGGGACACTATTCATATCAGTACCTATTATTTCTCATGGGACTTGAAGGCGCGTTCTCGGGGGCGCGCCTTCCATTATTTTGTCAGAGAATATGTTATCATTTCCCTATTATGTCACTCATGTCCCTCTGGGACACTAGATGGATTGTGAAATTAGGTAAATTATAACCAAAATTTAACTTCTTTTGAAAGTTCAGTAAGTTAAGAATAACTTAAATTAAAACGTTATGTGAAGTTTGAATAAATTAGATAAAATGTTATGGATAAATTGAATAAATGTGAAGTGATAAGTTGATTGTGACATTGAAATTGTATGGAATGAGCATCGAGATGTTTTTACGAATAAATGTGAAGTGATAAGTTGATTTTATTGTATACGTTTTAATATATATGTTAATGATAAAATCATATGTATGGATAAATTTAATTTCAATTTAAGTATTGTGAACTATAATTGGAATATAACTTTTAATTTCGAATACAATTGGAATATTAAGTTGAAATTTAATGTTAAATTTCGAATACTATAATTTATATTTTAATTTTAAATTTCGAATAATATTATTTTTAATTTTATTTTAAATTTTGAATAATATAATTTGTATTTTAAAAACATTTATCAAACATTTAATGTTAAATGTGAATAAAAAATAACATTAAAAATATGTATGTAACAACCATGAAACATTTAAATAACATAACCAAATTACATAAAATTCTGAAATATAACTATTTAAATAACATTAAAATACAACTGGATTACCGATGTCGTCTTCTCGAATGAGTTCCACATGGCGGTGATTGTCTATTTCGTGGAGGATTTCTTCGTGGAACTTTTTCTTCAGTCTCCTCATCTTCACTATCATCATCAGCAGCATTTTCTTCATTCGGTGTAGATGACGCTGAAGGGGCTGAAGGGCCTGTATAAAATAACGACCCTGGAGGAGTGCTAGTAACAATCCCACCGCTCCCCGGGAACTGTGAAAACTGTGGAAACATTGGCATCGATGTCTGTGATCCGGATGGAGATTGAGGTGTCTGCGGAGAAGCACCACCGGCCAAATAAGATGCATATGAACCATATGATGGATCATTAAACATAGTCGTATATGCACCTCCATATGGTATAAAACCCTGCGGGCTAGGCATGTAACCTGGCAGGCTAGGAATGTAACCCTGCGGGCTCGGAATGTAACCCTACGGGCTCAGAATGTAACCCTGCGGAGATGGCATATAAACTGGTGGGCTTGGCATATGAAGTGGAGGGCTGGGCATGTACCCCTGGGGCATCGACGGATAAGGATGTTGTGGTGGGACTGATGCAGAACCGATAGCGCCTTCTCTCCGTCCACGCGTCGGGGGACGATGATATTGAGACGGTTGACGTCTTTCTCGGCGCCTAGGAATGTTAACCCTTCGTGCTTCCGCCGAAAGTAGAAACGGCTTCCCATTTTCATTAAACCAGTCCATATAGTTATCCGTAACCATATGACCAGTTTCAGCGTAATATTGTCGAGGGGCCAACAGTGTATATAGGTTCTCCCAAAGCGCAATCCAATCTCTGTGTCTCACCACCCAGTTAACATCTTTCTTTCCTCGTCTATCTATGTTATGCACGTCGTCTAAATTCCTAGGTGCTCCAGGAATATATTGCGTACAACCATACTGACAGAGCACGCGATCAACTGGATGCCACTCAATAATAGCATAACATATAAGAGGTATAACCGATATCCATACCTCTAATGACCCACTAAGGTGGGGTGGGATGCAAGCTTTCACTTCATCGCTCGCATAAGGTATCAACTGAAACTGAAATATAAATATACAATTCAAATAAATAAAATATTCTAATTATATCTAACATTTTAAATTAAAATATTAATAATTAAACAAATTTAAAAACATACCTCAGACCCAGCTTTCGTATCAATAAGTAAACGAATTTCCTCTAACCCAGTAGGTATACTTTTATGGTCCTTTCTTTTCATCGACCACCTATGAAATATAATATAAACTAAAAACCACCCTATTTAATTGAAAATATTTAAATCAAAATTTAGTTCGAAAATTACTTCAACAATAAGGGGAATACGTATGGTTCATTCACGATCGGGCATAAGAAAGGCATGCGGAACCACACCTATGATTGTAGAAGCAGAAGACATCCACCGATAGCAGTTTTCTTATAATTCATCGCCCGACACATTTCTCTAAAGAGAAATGCCAAAACTGCAGCGCCCCAACTATATCTTCCAGCTTCATCAAAATCGATCAGATGCCGCAACCACATACAATGCACCTGGTTGCGAGATTTGTCGGGCATCAATATTCCTCCAATTATTCGTAGGATATATGCCCGAGCACATGCCTTTTCTTGATCCTCTGAAGCATTTTCATTTAAAACCTCAAAATTAGCTTTCAACCAAGATAAAGCTATTCTACCTCCATTAAACTCTGGCGGAGCAGCTCCAAGATAATCAATGCACATTGACTGCCAATCACCATCCGCCATACCACACATCATATTTCTGTCGACGGGAAGCCCCAGATGCATAGAGACATCCTCCAATGTAATTGTGGCCTCTCCACATGGAAGGTGAAAAGTGTATGTCTCGGGCCTCCACCTCTCAATCAGTGTAGAAATTAGGACAGGTTTGAGTTTGCAACCGCCAATAATTGTTGCAATATACCCGAACCCGACAGAAGCCAAATATGGCAAAATACGTTCCGGTGTCGGTATATGTGGATTTTTAATAAAAGTCTCTAAAATACGATCAGTATCATAAATAATATACATTATAAAAAATAAAAATTAATATAAATTCATAATAACTTTAAAATAAAAATAAATTTAAATATTAACATTAATTATAAAAAATATTACCATATCGCTAAAATGTCTGGAGATATGATCAATATCCAATCGCAACAACATTTCGTTTTCCATTATAACTGTAGACAAAACAATATAATTAGCACAAAAAAATTAATAATTCTAAATAAATAATAATTATATAAATATTATTTTAATAAAAAAATAATATTTACATAAATATATTAATATAAAATATAATAACTATTTAAAAAATACTAACATAAAAATAAATTTCTTACCACTAATAACAAATTTAAAACTCAAATAGTTGGAGAATTTGAGTTATATAAGAGAGGATAATATGATTTTGGTGTGAAGAATGAGGGAGGGTTGAGGGGGTTTATATAGGGGAGGAGGGGGGTAGTTAGGGAAAATGGATGGGGGCATTTATGGCATTTAATGGAAGGCACGTCCCCGGGGATGCGCTTTCCACACGTGGCAGTCGAGTCAGTGAAGGAGCGTCCCCGGGGATGCGCCTTCCACACGTGGCATCAAACTCAGCGAAAACACGGGTAAAGCGCGTCCCGGGGACGCGCCTTTTGCCAACTCAGCCGAAAGGGTGCCACTTCGGGAAATATATATTAAACGGTGCCAAAAAGGTAAATATTCGTTAAAGGCGTGTCAGTTTGGTCAAATCGCCAAAAAAACAGATTGTAGGGGATTCTCTCCCATTTTTTCTCAAGAAATCAATATAAAAAAGCAAGAAAAGGTTTTTTCTCTCTCTCTTCTTCTTTCTTTCGTTCGATTCCATGCAAAAAAAAATTAAAACAAAGTAGAGAAAGGAGAGAGGAGTGGTTACCTTTGGTTGGAGATTTCGCCCGCGTTGAAGTCTCCGGGTTAGAAAGCCAATTGGTTCGGCTTTTCGGTTCTAAGTTGAGTGAGGAAGAAGAAATAAGGGGCTAATTGGGGTCGCGGTTTGGCCTTGATTAGGACTGGTTCAGCTCCTCGGTCGGTTTGGATAGCGGTTCGGACCAAAGAGGCCGTCGTGGGCGGTGGCCGGCGCGTTTAGCCTTGGCTTGGGAGTGGTCGGCCGTTGCACATTTGGGTAGAGGGGAGAGAATGAAGAAAGAGATAGGGGTGGGGTTAGTTTAGTTTTAGGATTATATTTTATATTTAGGGTTAATTACAAATAGGTCCCCTAACTTTAAAAATCTATTTGTGTTTTGGTCACTAATTTAGAGTTAAATCGTTGTTTGGTCCTTGTCTTTAGCATATGTAACATCTTGGTCGGCTGTTCGTGGGGAAATTTCCCTTAGATCCCATATTCATTGTCGTATTTTACATATTAGTCCCTGAATCCCTACATTTTATTTATTTTATTTTTAGTACTTTAGTTTAATTACTTTCAATTTAATCACTAACATGTTATATTCCCTATTTGATTTATTTTAATTTTGGCATTTTACTTTCTGTATCTTTAATTTTAGTCACTAACTTATTAACACTCTAACATTTATTTTATTGTCCAAACTAACCCCATAACTTTTAAATTTAAGCAATTTATTTCTGTTTTTTATTTATTTATTTATTTATTTTTCAGCACTTTAGATTCCATCATTTTATTTTCCAACCCTTTAAATTTTCAACATTTTATTTGAATCCTTTTTTTATTTCCAGCATATAGTTTTTATCATTTGCATTTAGGCATCCTGACTTATATTTCATTTTATTTTAGTCATTGAGCTTGCTAGTGGTATATTCATGTTCGTGCCTATAATTTTTAATATTTATGTTTTAGTCTTATTTATTTACCCTCTTACTTGTATGATTTTTTAATTTGGATGGTTGGTTTAGAAAGCTTGCATGTTGGTCCCTTATTTATGTGCACATTGGTATTATTACTCACCCTTTTTTTTTATAAATCATCATTGTTTTCTAATATATGAAAATGAGAAAATTTCATTTTGAGAGAAATCTACGAAGACATCTCCCAACTACAAGAGAAGGTATCTTGTAGAATTGTTCGCACAAATGTTTTTTATTCGATAATTTTCTTTGCCTTACATTTATTTATTTTGATTATTTTTCACTTCTTTTCATTTTGTTTTTTTAGTTTATTTTATTTTTGTGGAAAATGTGAAATGATGTCTTTTGTGAGGGAATCTATGGGAAAGTCTTCTAACTATAAAGGAAATGCATTCCCGAGGATTGTTCACACAAAAGGGAATTCGTTATCCGAACATTTCTATAATTTAATATAATATTATATTTTTTTAAACTATAAAAATTAAAGAACTATTTTGTGAGGGGACTCCATGAAAAACTCTCCTAACTACAAAGAAATTTCATTTTCAAGGATTGTTAGTACAAAATGATGCATTTTTTTATATAAATAATTATAATTTCTTTTTTGATTAAATAAATAACTTTATTCTATAAGAATGTATTTTGGGCTCTTTAATCTTTTTGACTCACTGCATTTATTGTTTTAGTTGTATTAAATCATCGGCTCTAACCGGAAGAATGGTGAGATGGCAAATGTTGTTGTCTGAATTTGATATAGCATACATGAATAAAAAAACAGTGAAAGGAAGCATTATTACCAACTTCTTAGAAAGAAAAGGATTAGAATACTATGAGCCAGTGAAATTTGAGTTTCCAGATGAGGACTTAATGAGTATATTTGCTGCGGAAGAAGATGCTCCGAAAGATGAAGTCTGGAAAATGAACTTCGATGGTGCCTCTAATGCTGTGGGACATGGAATTGGGGCAATACTAGTTTCACCTTAAGGAGATCATTATCCTTTTACTAGTAGGCTCGTCTTTGAATGCACAAACAACATGGAAGAATATGAAGCATGTATCATGAGTATTCAAGCTGCAATTGAGCGCAAAATTAAAAGCATAGAAGTATTTGGCGATTTTACTCTAGTTATTTATCAACTTAGCGAAGAATGGATGAATCGAGACTCCAAATTTCTTTCACCAATTTTTGTCCCACACCATCCCTACTGCTGTCACCACCAACCTCCTGCTGTAACTCCATCCTATGCCCATGCCCTACTACACCAACTCAACGCCGCCGCCACTCCTCACCTATGCTCAGCAGGTTACCAAACAATCAACATCAATTTTTTAATGTAAATGGTTTATAAAACCCAACAAAAAATCAGTGTAAATGAGCCCCCATTCGAAATAAATAAAAGATTATAGGGGATTCACTTCCCATTTTTTCTCAAGAAATCAATATAACAAAGCAAGAAAAGGTTTTTTTTCTCTATTCTTTCTTTCTTTCGTTCGATTCCACGCAAAAACAATTCTTCTTCTAGTGTAATATCGTTTACATATCATGCATTATTTTATTTTTTCACTAATTGATTTTAATGGTCTTCATATTTGAACAGATTTTTTGGAACTAGCAAAACGGGTATCTTTTGTCGTGTTTTTAAAGGTTTGTGAGTTTCTCCGCACACATAACACATGCATTTACATATCATAAGCTCACTTACGAGCTTTGTCCATTTTAAGTTGAGGTGAAAGCTTAGCCTACGTGAGATAAATTGTTTCTCAGCATGGGTTTTAGCAAGTAACCTTTGGGGTTCATATACCTTATGTCTACGTGAGATAAATTATTTCTCTGCATGGACACAAGGGAATGTATCCTCTCAAATTCAACTCGATCCACATGAGCCTATAATGAGCCAGGGTTGAGTGTTTGGCAGCCTAAGTAGGAACCAACATGGATAATTCGAGTACCTTTTTCTTAGAACCCAATATTGCATATAGTGAGCCCTAGTAACCCACCCTGATAAAATTCATGTTGAAACTCTGTTCGTTGTTAGGTATTCGAATAAGTGTACACAAAGGAGAAATAACACTAAACCTCTTTTCTTTACCTGTATTATTTTGTTTTCCGAATAAATCATGTGAACTAGAAAAACATGTGGTTAGGTTTTACTTTCGAACAAAGTATGAGGGTAGAAAGCCTATTTTGGGTAGGATTTAACCTAATAAGTGTAGAAAAGCATGTGGGAGGACATCTCAATTATCTTTAAATAATATTTAGTTGATATTTGGATTTTTTTATACTGACACACTTTCTATGTTTAATTGTTTATTATTTGGCATTGCATGATCATCATAAATTAAAGAAAGGTGTTGATTAACCAAGTAATCATCAGAGTAGAAGAGTGATCATGAAGATGGAAAAGAGTTTTCATAACAAGGAAGAGTTTGCCTGGGGATTATGTATCACAGATGACCACATATGTTATTGTCAATTTTCAAGCAGAATGATCTAAAATAGTTGTTAGAGATTTGGGAGAGTTGGAGAGTAGCTACCAAAGGGAAGTTCCACAAGAAATTTGGTGACATAGTCCATATTCTCTATGTAAATATAAATGAACCATTGCTTAAAGCTCTGGTCTGATTTTGGAATCCCGCTTACAACCGCTTGACTTTCAACAGACAAGATTTGTAACATCCCAAAATCAGAGCTAATGACTAAAATGGAAGTTTTGAAAACTTTGTGTTTAATTTTGAAAAATTGAAAAGTTCATGGACTTAATTGGAGAATTTTGATGTTGGATTTAACAGTAAAGTTTGAAAGTAATAAGGGTATTATGATCTTTTCTAAGAGAAGATTTTTATTTTATCTTTTTAAGGGATATAACACGTGAAAATGGGAAATGAAAAAGGAAAAGTCTGGAGAATACAAGCTTCTTCTTATTCTCTTACCGTGTCTCCATAGCTAAGGTGAGAATGCTTTTAGTTGGCTAATTATTGTAAGTTTTGAGTTGGTTTTATTCTTGGGATGATAGCCAAGGTTAAGGAAAGCTTAAGTTGTTCTAAAATCAAAAGATGAGGGAATTAGAAATGATTAAAGATAAGATTATGATAAGTGATATCTTGGAAGAGAGTTAGTAAATAAAGTTTGAGACTATAATTGACTTGTCATCAACTTAATTAAGAAGTCTGAAGTTTTAGAATTGAGATTAAAATATGTTGAAAAATTGGTAGGATTCTTGATTTCCATATATAGGATGAAATTTTGAAGATAAAGACGTGTTAGATGAATAGAAATGGGTTTGTGTATGTGTACTTGAGTTAAGAGTATAAAAGGGATTGAGACATGAAGGATTTAAGCTGATATAGCTTAATTTTCGGGTTTAAAAAGCGAAATTTGGGCTATTAGTATCGGTACTGCTTCATCCAGTACCGATACTTCAAGAGTAAAAGAGTGATATTTGGTGTAGGGGTATCGATACTGGTTGAACAATATCAATACCATAAGCCTGAATTTGACAAAGACATTCATGGGGTATCGATACTTGGAGGGAAATATCGATACTAAGAGTATCGATACCATAAGGACAATATCGATACCATTTTGAAATAAATATCACAGAATCGAAAAAGGGTACCGATACCTAGGCTTGGTATCGATACCACAGCTAGGGAAGTATTGGTACCATACTCTAGGTACCGATACTACTCAAAGAGGAAATTCAAATTTAGTATTTTGTTTAGCTTATATTAGTAATGATCGATTCATAAGAGTTAGAATTCTAATGTTCGTGTCAAATTTTCATTGGTGTAGATATCGAACGGAAGAAAGTACATGATGAGTCAACGAGATTCGATCGATCAAGAAAGAGATAAGTATATTGCTTGGACTAGTGAGGTCAGGTGAGTGCATACTAGTGGCATATGATGTTCAATGGAAATATAACTTGTGACGAGTCTATTTCGTATAGTAAAATGCATGAATTCATGAATGTAGGTATATGTTTGATATGAGTGTATGTGTTATGTGTTATTACATATGTTACATGATTTGTGTGAATACATGTTAGTGGGATAAGTCATATGAATTGATATGAATAATATATGTGATTACATGAAAAAATAATATAAATTATGAGATATAAACATAAGAGATTTATGAATATGTAATTATAAGAGAATAAAGTATATGTTACATGATACAACCATATGATATGTTATCCATAAGACAATGAGATATGAGGCTACATGAGAATGTTATAAGATCTATATGAAAAGAAGATATGAGATTACAAGTACAAGGATATAAGTATGTGATGATTTATATGATATGAATAT